CTTCCCCAAGATGAAAATCAAGTTGAAGGGGCGAAGGTTTGATACAGTTGAGGAAATTCAAGCAGAAACGTAGACGGTACTAAACACCCTAACAAAGAAAGACTTCCAGGATGCATTTGAAAAGTGGTAGAAACGCTGGGATCGGTGTATGCGCTCCCAAGGGGACTACTTTGAAGGTGATGGTGCAGAATAAGATCTAGGTAAGATGTAATAGTTTTTATTAATATATTTCAGGAACTTTTGGATTGCACCACGTACAAATGATGATTGAATGCTGTAAAACTACAATGGTAGTGTAAATTTGAAAATTTGTTAGCTAACTTAGTTCAGATCCAAATTGTAAAAATTAAAATAGACATATGTATATATATTAAATTTATAATTAAATTAAATTATAAATTAAGAATAAAATCTGTACAGTGCCTGTACCCTGGTTCACACAGTGTTCACAGTATAAATAGCCCCCGTGTGGATGTGGATTTGTGGTGAAAGAGTTAGTGGTATTCATGTTCTGTGTCTCCTCTTTTGTTTGCAGATGAAGATGTGGAAACAAATTCTGTGGTCACAGAAGTGGTGGACGAGACTACCTCAGAACATCGTATCATCTTTGTGAATCGACCCCAGCCTACCCGATATTGTAGTAACCACATCTCCACTGCCAAATACAGTGCCCTGTCTTTTGTGCCAAGCTTTCTCTTTGAGCAGTTTCGGAGATATTCAAACTGTTTCTTTCTGTTCATAGCACTGTTGCAGGTTTGTTACTTTTTATACTTAGACTAAATCTGTATTGAATCAAATGTACCTGTTTAAGGAGCTGATTGTGATGTCAGTAAAAGTGGTTTCCAAATTAGTCATTTCATCTTCTGCAGCTCTTCTAGGTTCCTCTCTTCAAATTCCATCCCTGTGCATTTTCTTGCTCTTCTGTTTTGCCTTATTACAGGAAACTCTTGCTGCATTGGCAAAACAAGTTTCTTTATAACTATTTAATGTGCAAGAATGTGTCCTGCTAACCATTTCCATTGTAGTTCATGTGTTAAATTCATGCTGAGAACTGTTTCCTAACAGTCTACTGAGGCAGTCCACACATGCTGCTTCATCTGCTGTCCAGCTCTAACTAGTCCAGGTTTTATCAGTGTCCCACAGAGTGTATGTTTAATTCTGAAAATAGTCCTGACATTGAAATGGTTTCCAATGCATCTGAATTTCTCAGAGATATCCTAAACATATGGGATAATGACCATGCCATAGTATATTGTATGTGAAGAAGGATGGTGTTGATAAAAGGAATTCCAGGAACTGATGGCAACTGTGCAAGTTCAGTTCCTGATGTGACAGACCATTTTATATGTAGTAACACCTTGACAAAGCATACATGCAGTAGGTTGCCTGTGCTAGTAATGCAGACTATCAGTCCCTAGCTGTTCATTCTTCTGAGTGGTATGCTGTGCTCGTGAACATTTTATATGAACTTTAGCCATGATCAGAAAAATTGCAATATGGAAAGCAGAACTGACTGAACCTGACCATATGAGAAAATGGAAAGCAGGAAAGACAAACCAGTTCACTTGTTAGATATAAAATTTGATCCAAAAGAATTTTTTAAGGACAGTGAAAAAACAGTTGAATCTAGAACTTAAATGACATAAGCAGATGTTCACAAAAATTAAAATTGAAGTAGAGAAACCTTTTTCTTGTATAACAATGATTAGATGAAAATGTAACTTTACTAACATAAATTATAGGTGAAAGAAATGTGCAGAATTAGTACTGTCGCCATTAGTTAATATATATTCGGTATGAATATTACATTACACACTTATGAACCATGATAGAAATCAAGAAATTAGAGATAAATGTAGGTTTCACAAACTGATGTTTATAGAACAGTACAGAAGAAATTGGATGGAACATATTGACAGAATGAGCTTTGACAAGATTCCAAAAAGTGCCATATCAACCAAAAAATTGTTTTCGCTTAGTGGAGGGTGGAGTCCAGCTGGGTCGACTCGGCACAGTGGCCACTGATTGGCCTATTGTAGCTTGCCCTGGGTGATTATAATGATGGAGAATTTGGTGGAATGAAGATTGGCAGGGGAAACGGGAGTACTAGGAGAAAACCCGCCCCAGCGCCACTTTGTCCATCACAGATCCCACTTGACCACACCTGGGATGCAACCTGGCCTGCCACGGTGGGAAACCAGCGACTAACCGCTTGAACTATGGTGCGGCCATATCAACCAAAATGAAAAGGAAATTTTGGAAGACTACTGAAATGATGGGGGGGTTCTGTTTTCTAATATCTGTAATATCTCATTAGGCCAAAACCTGGAAAGGATGATGATGCTGATCAATGGTTGTGGTGGTGGGGATGATGATGATGAAACAGAAGAATTACAGAACTTTGCACTCTTACTACGATATTTAAAAATATCTAGAATCTTCTCTCAGATTGCTCTTTTGCATCAAGTTTTGGGAGTTCAAGATTATCAGTGCATGTAGAAAGCCTATAGTGTGTTTTACAGTCAGTCAGTGCTTCGTATATTTGATATTTTACTATGTATCTAATCTAGACAATGTTTTTCAGCAAATACCAGATGTGTCTCCAACTGGACGATATACAACTTTGGTTCCTCTTATATTTATTCTCAGTGTGTCAGCAATCAAGGAGATTATTGAAGACATAGTGAGTTTAGTTTTTCATTGTTTCCTACTTTGGATATGTCAAATGTGCTGCTTTTTATGTTATATCTCTGTATCTTAATTTATAAAATGCAGGAAGAAATCTTACACTCATATTGGATGGTTATCAGACGGGAATCTGTGAATGGCTTTTAAGTTGTTTGAAATATGTGTGGACTTTATATATGGAGTGATCACAGTATAGCTGTACATCTTTCAATTTCAAGGCATGTATAAATGTAATGTAATTATATTCAGCCTCATGTGTACTGTAGTTAAATACTCTCAGTTTTAGTGAGTACAGAAACATTATAATCACATAAATTCTTGCATTTCTGTGTAGTGTAGGTGCGACATAGTCGTATTCTTTGTGAATTCCCACGTTTGATTTGTGAAATCAGAGAGATATGGAACTTTTCTCAAGATACAAAATTTCAATGACTGTTTTCCAAGAAAAAGAAGTTAACATTAGTTTCTGGATCATGAAATTGATTAAGGTAGGCTAGTCTTCCAGTCCCCTTGTTTACCAGCATTGCCTTAGATGGACAGCTGTTTATAGTGATTTGTGAAAGAGTCTGTGTGTTTGAGCCGCCTTTGCCTTGAAATATTAGTGACCTTAACAAGTTTACTGAAGCTGCTGCAAATATTTTATCTGACATATTGCATCATATATTGCAAGAGACAAGCAGCATTACCTGTTCTTCACTCAGGTATGGTTGCTTCACTTACCAAAATCACAATAGCAAAATCTTAAAGCACAAGTAACACTTATACTGTATTAAGAAATGTAAGTATCCTCACACAGTTAGAGGAGAATTGGAGTAAACATTTGAACTGCACCAAAAAATTACAAATTGCTTTAACAGGCATGGCATTTGCTAATGTATGGAGTAAATCTCATAATGCCTTTGGACATTATTTGTTGGATCTTTGGGGGGGGGGAACAAACTGACAATAGATAGAGAACTGACAGGAAAGTTATATACAGTAAAACTTGGTTATAGCAACATCAGTTTCTGCGACACCTTGTCTATTACGTCAAATATTCAATGGTATGAACTAATTCCTCATAAAGCAACTGTTTTTATACCTCGCTTAGTACGACATGCACAAATGCATCAACCTCGTATGTAACGTCATTTTCATTCCTGAATTTCTCTGATATCGTGGGAAAGTTCGATGTGTCTGCCCACCCTCACTTTCTCTACTTGCTGACGTGACTGTCCTGGAAGAATACGACCGCGGGCTGCAAGAGGAGCGTGGGTTTTATGCGAAAACAAGGGTGTGGGGTGGGGCTGCGTGAATAGTGCAAGAGGACGC